CCCCCCACATCCACACGGGGAGCCACCCCCCAGCAAGCCGGCTTACACGACAGCGACTGCAGCAGCACCCCACAGTGGGGCCAACGAGGAGCTAGAGCTCAGGATGAGCAGCCGCAGCCACTGGAAGCGGGGACAGCCAACACTAGTACAGCAGCCACCACAGCAAGCCCCCGCGGCCGAACACCCGCTCTTCGAGGCTCCCAGCACGCAAACGCAAGAGGAGATGCTGGCTGTAGCCCATCTAGTTGAAACGGGGCAAGCGAACAGCGTGGCGTGGACAGGAGGACGCAACCCGTGCCAAGATACGCTCGATGCCACAGTCCCTGAAACCACGCCGCCTACCCAGCAGCAGCGGGGACAGTCCCCAGGAAGCCCCACACGCAAGCGTAGCAGGACGGGGACATCCCAGCAGCAGCCGGACCCGGAGCCAAGTGCAGCATCAGCAAGCAAAGTACAAGAACGAGGGCAAAACAACACAGCCGCCTCACAACAACCACACCCTGAGCACCACCAGCCCACGGGACACTTCCCGCCGCAGCAAGAACTAGAGCAAAGCAACACAGCCGCAAGCTCACAACAGCAACATCCTGAGCACCACCAGCCTACCGCAGCACTGTCGCAGAACAGGGGACAGCGACAGCAAGAAAGCTCAGCGTATATGGTCCTGAGAGCTCAGCAGCTAGTTACACAGCTCATGCCAACACTGGTGGGGGACCAGGTACCGCTAGCCGCGGAGGCCCTCAGCCAACTTCAGTCGTGGACGAGAGGGCTATGGGGTCATGACATCCAACTTGTAAGGGACTCCGCAACAGATTCCTGCGGCTCCCTGGCCGACACTGTGCCATGGCACCCTCCGGCGCCAGCGAGGGGACCAGCGGAGGGGTCTGCTAGACCTCAGCCAAACCCCGGAGACGAGCTGTGGAAACCTGCGGGGAAGCAAAGTCGGGGACGCAAGTTCAGCGACTGCAGCCTCGACTCAGCCGACATGCCGGGGACCGAAACAGAGGACGAGGCGTTCGGCCTCCAAAGGCGGCGACGGAGCGCTACGGCAAGCTTGAGACGCAGAACTACCGCCCCGACTACTGAGCAAGAGGCTGAAACAGCTGAAAGGGGGAGCGGGACGGAAGTCGCGTCCCATAGACGCAGAAGGTTGCATGCGGCGATGTCAGACGACTAGTTCGAGTGTTACCGGGGCTTGCCTTCAGGTAGGACTTTTTGCATACATGCCGCATGCAGCCACAGGTAAGGGGAGGTAGGAGCAACACACCGCACCACCACCGCCAACGTGAGCCGGGGCCTAAGCGTATGTGATGTTCCCCTAGGTGCTTTATACCCTGCCCTCTTGCTTCCCTCCCCACAGGCAACGGCTCACCCACAGCACAACCTCCACTGGCACGGGGACCTCCCCTGAAGTTTTATGTTGGCCCCCTACTTGGTTTCTTTACCCTGCCCCCGTGTGCTTCCTCCCGGGGACCCGTGCCAACAGTCACACCCACATAACCCACAAACCAACACTGTAGCATAGACGCAACAAGTCGGAGGGGGCCACAAAGTCCTGTGCTTGTGTTGCAGTGCTGTGTAAAGGACCGTTTCTACCAAAAGCATCACCTCCAAGCCAGTATCCCCGCAACGACGGGGGTGGCCAAGTCACAGCATAGAGAGGGAGTCGGTACAATCGGCTAGGCCAAGGCGGGGACAGTGGATGCATTGCCATGCGGGGTTTGTGCTGTTGCGTAAGAAAGGGGGCTTTCCATGAGTGCCGACTCCCCAGTTGTCTCACGCCGACTGCCAGTGGACAGACAGAGCCGTAGCGCGAGAGCGCAAGAGGGCAGGGGCAACTCTGCTCTCTAAACGGCGTGCATGCAAGCAAGCAAGCAAGACAGACACATAGGCATAGCTGTGTACTTGCTGAGCAAGGGGGCCGGAACTCTTGACAGCAACACACTTGCGACAAACTGCGAGTAGTGCCAGCGTGGACTTCGCGGATGAGGCCACCGGGGGTGGGATTCTTTAGTGTTCGTTCAGGGGGTTCGCTGCTCAGAGCCCGGATGTCCTCATCGCAAACAGCTTTCACACAGAGACTTCGGGAACCAGGGCGCGTTCGCGTGCGAGGGGGGTGCACTGCCCTTCCTTTGACTGTGTGGAAGAAGACATAGATTTAGACATGTTGCAAGTCCACACACAAGTGATAGCTCCAGCTAAGCCTTCCTCGCCTGGAAGTAGCCTGAAGCTCCCAAAGCCTCTGCTTGAGCCACGTTGAAAGCCCCAGAGCTCAAGGCCAGCACTGCGGACGATTACTTCGTTCCACAGCTCGAAGCATTGTCCCACTGCCTCGGCTTAGAGGATGAAGGGCTTGGATGGGAGCTTCTAGTTTGGGTTGAGGGGTTTAGGACCTGGCTGCAAAAGGGCTTTGAAGAGTCAAGGCTTTCAGGTTTGGGGTTTGGGCTTCATGGTTTAGGGCTTGAAGCGGGTGTGGGCTTCTGCTTCCCCGTTCTGCTTTGGTGTTGCTGGCTGTCGTTTGGCAGGGAAGTACACTTCGAAGTCTTGGGCCGATAGTGCAGCCTTGCCGTGCTTGTAGGCCTGTGCAACTTTCCTGCCATTGCGCGCTGTGGGGAGCTCCGAAAATCGACGGGTTCGGGTACACCAAAGGGATTTTGCTGTCGGATTCGTCAACTCTCCAAAGTATCTGCCCGGAACAGCAGGTTCCCACCCTTGGTCCTGTTTGCGAATGCTTTACTTGAGGGTGCAAACTGTATATAGCTTGGCCTTTCTTTCTTCGACTCTCTGGTTCCTGTTTGATTTGATTTTGCAGTTACTACGGTTGATGATACCTTCTATGGGAATTATGGTATATTCCTTATTATGGCAAATGCAGGATTTCTATCATCAACCCTAGTTACTAGTAGCATGGCCTGGGGGGGGGGGGCAGCCCGGAGCTGCCGGGCACAGGAGGATGTGGCTGGTGTCACCTTGCTCGCCTTGGGTAATGGCATGCCTGATGTGATGACGGCCTGCAGCTCCATCAACAAGGCCGAGTTTCCTTTGTTGGTTTTGGAGGTTTAAGGTTTAGGAAGTTAAGGAGTCCACTGTGTTGAGTCAGGGTTGAGGCTGTAGTACTCTAGGAAGTCTGGAGTTCAGGCTTCAGGGAATTTCCGCGTTCAGTTTTGGAGGCGAACGACCTGCCGCTGACCATGGGCGAATTCCTTGGCGCCGCGAACTTCATCGCCATCTGCGTGATGGCATGGATAATGCTGGCGCAATCCGGGCCGACAGAAGTGGACGGGTTGCCCTTCCTCCGTGATTCGATCATGTGCATGCTGGTGACAATTTTCATGGTTGCTGTGACCTGGGATAATCTCATCACCTTGACTGAGAGCATATCTTTCTTCGTGCTCTATGTTTTCTACATTGCGCTTGTCCTCCTTCCTGGGCGCCTGTGCTTCCGCACTGCGCATGCCCGGGCCATGAACTCAGAGGTGGAGCTCGTCTTCGAGCCACAGATGGGGACGAGCTGCTTCCCTGAAGGAGCTTGTATGCTTTTGCACAAACAGGAGACCTGGGTCTCTCCCACCTCTAGACCGTGGAAGTAGGCTGTCAGAAGGGATCGCCCGATCTCATTGATGTGAATGTTGACGGACTTCAGATGTCTCTACATCTCCCAAGCCACTCTGGGTAGGACTTGTGCAACAGGACAGGCTGCCTGAGATGAACCAAGTATAGACGCCTAGGTGCAGTCCCCTTGAATGCCCTCATGTGAAGCGTATGCCCGAGGCTGGGAGAACGAGGAGCCCACGAGCCCGTCTCAGGGCAGCTTTCTGCCGCTCGCCTCGGAATCCGAAAACGAGGACCCCGAAGTTTTTGATGCCAAGCTCGCCTTGCCGGGCCTGGTCTATACCAGGCAATCGACCGTAAGCCTCGTGCTTTGCACACTGGAGCTACCTTTCACCTTGGCCCGGAGCCTTTGCATACCTTCGGCCACCTGGAGTCGGAAAGAGCGGCTGCTGGCAGCGGCCTGCCCTGCCTGTGGAGTGCTTTTCATGTTCCTCTCCTATGGGGGCTGGGAGGCTTTTCAGGCCTCAGGTCAATTCCCTACCTGGGCCCTGGCTCTGGTTGCTGGCCTCTTGGCCAGCTTGGCCGTCCTCTGCGCTTCGAACCCGGGCCATGCGCCGGCCTGGCACCTGATCCTCCTGCTCTGGGCCGTTGCCGCGGCTGTTAGTTGGCGCCTGGGCTGGGAGCAAGAGTTCATTCGCGTGGCTTTGCCACCCGAGGCCTTAAATCCAAATCCCTGAAGCGCGCAAACGAGTAGGAGTGCTCAAAATCTAAGACGACCGGCCAAGGTTCAACTTGTTGGCCAACGAGTGCGTGGCAGTGCTGGAGGCTTTCGGCCTCAATCTGGGAATCTCATCCTCGGTGCTCGGCATCACTGTCCTGGCTTGGGGCAACTGCGTGGGCGACCTCGCAGCTCGGGTTTTCTTCGTAGTGTTGTCGGAGAGCCGGGCCACTCTCTGTTTGGCAGTTTGAAAAATTGATCCTACGTAGTAGGCCGGGCTGGTGGTGGAATTTCAATTTTGAGGACCCCCGCAATTAAGGATTAATGTGCTTTGCTAAAGGAATTCCCGCTTTGAACGAGTTTGAGCAGCCGACCTCCCCAACAGCTCAGGTTGCAGACCTCTCCTTGGCCAAGCAGGGAAGGCCCATGAAAGGGAGGGCAGCTTCTTACTTTTCCCTCTGGCCGTCAGTTTCAATTCGTGCACTGCAAGCTGCTTAGGGTGTACTAATATATATATATATATAAATGAAATACATATACATACACAGAGGGTTTAGGCCGGAAAGTCCCTTTAGCACAAGATGCCAGGTCGAAGATGGCCATTGCAGGAGTCTTGGTTGCGGCTGAGGGTTTAGGATTTGTAGGGTTTAGGGTTTAGGTACGCCTTCTGCCTGTTGGTCATATGTGTCTATATATTGATACTAATGTGTTTATAGAGTCTTTTGCAGAGGTAACTGTAACAGATGTTTCTGTACATGTATATATGTATGTATATGTCTACAAGTATATACACATGCACTTATACACATGCATGTACACATACACATATGCTATGTATAGTTGTACAAAAATACACACATTCACGTAATGATTGGCTCGGTACAATCAGAACATAAAGACCCCTTCGCACGCCCCCACCGCCACACATGCACACAGTGCATATACAATGTCTACTCCAAAGCTTTATATCTGTATATATCTACATCTATATAACTATATGTCTGTATATATAGATATATTTATTTATACATATATGCATTCATACATATGTTCGATGTGTGTGTGTATATATATATTGCTATATAAGAATAATATATATATATAATAAGAACCGTATGTACACATCTATACACATATACAGATAATGTACTATGCATGTCTCTACATACATATACATAGACATAGACATAGGCATGGGCATGGGCATGGATGGACCTGGGCATAGTCAGAGGCTTAGGCATAGGCATACGTACATACATGCCATTGATTGATATGCATTTATTTGTTCATTTATTTGTTCATTTATTGCTTCATTCATTTACCCGTTCATTTATTAATTGATGTATTCATTTATTTGTTGATATTGATATACACGCTTAGTTTATGTGTAGTTTATTTGTACACGGAAGTATGTGAGTAGCCTGGCTGCAGTGCGAACGTGTGCATGTTGTGCTTGAGCACTTGTAATGGCACGCCGTTCTATGCAGGGTCTTTCCCCGGAGAGGGTAGCTCACTGAGCTAGCGTTCTCGACTCCACCGGTGTTGGCCGGTGGGTATGTCGCGTCGGGGTGAAACTACCCGTTTCGGGGGCGGCCGGCCCGAGATTGATTCCGTTATGATACCCATGGGTTGGCTAAATGCTGTTAGTCTGTATCAGCATCTGCACCGTCGTGTGGGACTGCCGACATACCCTGCGGGTGCAGGCCTAAGCCCTTCGGATGAGTGGCCACGGGATCGGCCTTTACCTGGAGGGGCTTCGGAGAAAAACGGCACTTGGTATCAGTACCTGGATAATTTCGATTGCCCTGAAAAGGTCCCGAAACCCCCTTTGCACGTGAAACAGAGGGCGGCGTATGACAGGATTGGAGGTGGCGTCTCAAAACAGAAGGAGCACCTGCGAGAACTGTGTGTGACCAGGATGGTCGCCGAGATCGATGCCGTTGAGGGCAGGTTGTCTGTGTCTGCGTCTATGTATATGTATATGTGTATATGTGTATATGTGTATGTGTATATATATATATAGATATGTAGATATGTATGTATATATATATGTGTGTATATGTATATATGTATATATGTATATATGTATATATGTAATGTACATATGTATATATACATATATACATATAAATGTATATGTATTTGTGCAAATATGAAAAGTGTAAATATGTAGATATGCAAATATGTATACATGCTTACATGTATACATGTTTGTAGGTATATATGTACACATGTTTATGTGTATATATGTATATATGTATGGGTACAAGCACACATTTGCGAACATGGATTGTTTCTACAGAGGTATCCACATGCCTCCGATTCTGCAACCTTAAATCCTAAACCTCAACAACTGTAGACCCCGTCGCTGCGAGGGAAAGAAGTCAAAAAAGCTGTAAACCCTAAACCTTGACTGACAGACCTGATAACCGCTCGGATGTGTCAAGACGTTCATGAACAAAGGAGTCGCATCAGTGGGCTCCGAAGGCACTTGCCCTCAACCAAAACCTCTCAGCCTTCCCCCCCAAGAGGAGTCTACGGTTCCCCCATCCTCAGCGATCTTCTGGGGCTTGGCGTGGCCTTGACCTCCCACGTCTCGCAGCACGGAGCTTTGGAGTCGCAGCTCTCGAAGCAGCCGCCCGGCTACGGTGCAGAGAAAGAGGAGCTTGTAGCTATGACGTGACTGTGAGATTGATTTGGAAGGCCTGGTATGTCATGATCTCATTTGCTGCGATATGATCGGATAAGTCAGGATAGGAAAGGACTTCGATGAGAGATGTGTCTTTTTGTTTCCAACTCGCCGTTCGGTCTAGCATTGCGTTGAGGATGCAGGGTTTCAGGGCTCCCTCCCCTCTTGCGTGTGCGAATTTCGGATAATAGCAGACCTCACTATAAACCAACCAGGTTTTGAAAAAAGCCACATGTCGAGGAATCGCATTGCAGCGGGCTCCTTGGTCCTGGGCCTGCTTCTTTCCATCGCTGTGCCCCCAAACTGCAGCACAGCGAAGGGTTCAAAGGTTTTGTTGGGGGGCTTTATAGGGGAGGTAGGGCTTCAGGGGGCCAGGGTACGGGGCTTCCATGCGGAGTTTCTAAGTCTGCAATGCGTTTCTTGCTCCCCGTAGGCACGGTAGCTGTTGTCTGATCTGGGTATCGCTTCAATCGTGTCTGTGAAATGCCGGGGAGCTGCACATCTGGGGGTGGGGCGTGTGCTTTCAAGCACACACGGAAGCCGGCTCGTGTCTTGGAGCCCTAAATACCCCAAACCCTAAAACCTAAGAGTCCAAGTGCGATAGTACCCTTGTAGTATCCCCTAACAGCACCCTAGTACTAGCACTAGCGCTTTGTAGTAACCCTTCTAGCTTTTTTGGTACCCTTATTGCAGCAACCTGGACTGGGCCAAGGTTCACTCTTTTCCGGTTCCGTTGCCCGCGCGGCTTCGCATGGGCACCTTAGTTGAAAGCACGGGTCCTGTCTGCGTCGGTCGTCGAAGGTACAGCCGGCCCTAGTAAGTATAGTAGACCCGTATAGTCTCTAATTATAGATCGATTAGTAATAATTAATTCCTACACCTTATTTTACTTGTTAAGGCCCCTATATTGCTACAGATTACTGTTGTTGTGCTTTCGAGCCTTTTTGTCCGGGCTGGCTGTCAGCCCTTCGAGCCGAGGTGCTGCTGGGTCATTACACGATCTTCATGGTGGCTTGGCTGCCAGCTAGCCCTAAAACTAAACCCTAAACCCTAAACCCACCTAGCTGTAGGCAGAAACAACCTTAAAATAAGCCCTAAACCCGCTCGTCCTTGCTATGTGGGAGGGAAAAAACCCACCTAGCTATAGGCAAAAACATCCCTAGAACCCTTATCGCACAAGTCATCATGACGAAGCCTGTGCCCCCCTGAGGCTCTCTCCATCGCCTGCGAGCTGGGCTATGTGCCCGACATTTCTTAGTAGTGAGCCTTGTCGGGTTCGAGCACAGCTCCCCGGAAACCCCTTAAAGGGGGGGGGGGGGAATTGTCTTCAGGATGGCTCAGCCATAGATGTACTCCTCATTCGCGGGGATGCTAGGAGCTTGAAGCGCATTTTCCAGCGGCCGTCGCTTTGTGAAAGGTTGGGACTGACCCCTCCCCGGGCCTCTCAAGAGAGCTTCATGTGGAGTGATGGCAGCACCACACAAGCACGTGCCTTCCGCGTGAAAAGTCTTACAGGTCTGGGACGGCAGCGATCTCAATTCGACTGATTCTCTCCTCAGTCGCTGCTTGCCAACTTCAGGCCACGCAATGCTCGCAAGCGGAGCTTTGGGACAAGATAGATCGGGACCGTGGCTGGGGTCCGATGCCAGTGGATTTCTGATGACAAGCTGTTAGCCACAATGCCAATTCTGATGTAGTTTCGATGCTAAAGACATGGGCCGAGCCCAGAATCGCTCACCATTAGCATGTACGGCTCAAACCTATGCCGGCCCGAAGCTGAAGATCTGCACTGGCCGGAGATGAGATGAAGAGGAGTACTCTGAAGCTTCCCAGTGTCGCCGGTCGCCCCAAGAGAACAGGTGATGAATTTGCACCTCGCTTGCACCCTTGTTGCCTCCACTTGTCACGCTTTCATGCCGGGCCGCGTGCCTGCGTGCATCTCAGGCGATGGAGTGCGAGAAATGGGAGGAAGCCTCGGTCTCTCTGATGCAATTTGAAGCCAACCTTTTGTGACCGGTGACCAGAGGCAGCCGAGCAACAATAGCACAAAATGCGCAAGCAATCCTCCAGCACACAAAAATGCAGAAACTTTTTCAGAAAAAACGGCCTTGTGTGTGCCTTCCCACGGAGGATGAAGATGAGGATTATCCGTACAAAGAGTGGGTCGCCAGCCTGGCAAGAAGGACGCTGCAGCCTCCGATCAGCAGCGCCAGGGACCTGGCCTCCAGAACTTGGTTGATGGAGAAGGAGGAGGTGCAGAAGGCTCAATGGCAGGAAAGTTTCCGAAAGGAAAAGCTTTTTCTGCCGGCAGTGACAATGCCAGCAATCACAGCACCACAGCGGCAGGGCATGCATCTGCTTGGTGCTAGCCAAAGGCTTAAGCAGAAGAAGGTGGTTGCAAGGCATGGGGACCAGAGATGGCGCTTCGTGGGGAAGGCGAGATGTGTGGAGGCTCAGGCGGTGAGCGCGACAGAGGGTGCGACTGAGACCGATGAGTATGTGCCATCAGGCTGGGGCAATTTGAAGGACTACGTGCATGGGGTCTGCTGTTGTTTGTGGAAAGATTTTGCCTTCCGTTCTTCCTTTCCCTCTGCTAGACTCTCATCGACCCTGTCAGACGCAGTTTGAGAAGAGCCGAGGTCAAAATTGGGCCCGGCAGTCTCTTCAGTCATCCCTGGGACCGGCCCACGCCTTCGGGGATTCATCCGAACTCCCCACGGAAGAAGACTGCCGCTCGCCACACCCTCTTCTAAAGAGGGCCAGCTTGGGCCTTGGGCACGCTCTGTCCGGCAGTTTTGCAGCTGGGCCCCAGAACCAGCTGTATAGAAGTTTCCCAGAAAGTGTTTAGTAGGTGCCGGGGCCTGCAATCCTGCAGGCTCCATGCGCATTTTCAGGCTTAAGAAGCTTCGGCTGTCCATGCGCCCCTGACCAGATTAAGACGGTGTGGCACCTGCGTACCGCGCACTCAAGAATTAGAGATGTCCAACACCCAACCTTAAACCCTAAACCCCTAAACCCGAAACCCCTAAACCCCTAAACCCTAAAGAGACCCCTAAACATTCCGGTCCCTTGTGCTCAACCTGGTTGAACATTGTTCTTAGCGGAGATCGAAGCAGTTGGTTTGCTACTGCCTTCAGTGCGTTTTAGAGACGGCCTCGGCGAGAATGACGGCTTGATATTACCGGTACTTATTGTTGGTTCTTAGCTGCGACATGATCAGGAAGGGAATTCTTACCAGTTTTATGATGCTTTCGGCACCCACCGCTTAAACGCCTGACTTGATGTGTAGTCAGACATAGCCGACATAGCCGCATGGTAGCATTAATATTCGTATTTATACTGTTACAATTATTATTATTACCATTACAATTCAACATTAATGTTATTAACTCAGGGGCTCAGGTCGTGAAGCGACAGATGCTAAGAAGCTGTTGGTAGGCCGAGGCACCGAAGGTGCTGTGGCACCAGACATGCATCCAAGAGCGCACGAAAATCTTGATATGTCTTTTTGTTTATATATGTGTGTGTATGTATGTATATATATATATATATATTTACGTATACGTGTTTAAATTTTGGCTAGCGAGCTGGCCCACCAACGCGCTAGTTAGTTGGTTGGTTGGTTGGTTAGTTAATTAGTTAGGTAGCTAACTAGTGCGTGAGTGAGTGAGTTAGTTTGTCAGTCATTTTGTTAGGTAGCGGGCTGACTAACTAGCTACTTAGTTCACTCGTTGGTTCGTTCGTAATCAAGTAATGGATGTCCGACCTGGACGAGCGCGAGTGCTAAAAGTATCAAAATTTACCTGGTTGCTAAAATACATCAGCAGATAACCAGTTAGTTATTTCTTAAGTAGTCAATTTATCATGAATTTAAATGCCCAAGGAGGTAGCTAATCAATTAATACAGTTTTTCATGAAATCATCAATGTGTACTAATGATTTGCTGAATGAGTGAATGCGTGAACTAGGGAATTAATGAAAAACGAACTATCCACTTGATGAGTTAATGAGGTGCTCAATTGTTGAGTTATTGAACTATATGATTGATTGATTGGTTGGCTGGTTGAGTGATTGATTCATGTATTCATTCGTTCGTTCGCTCGTTCATTTGTTCGTCCATTCGTTCATTTATTCATTCATTCATCCATTCAGTGCTTGGTGTTACATGCATGGCTGCTACATGCAGCGGCCATGCGCGGGGCAAATCGATGGAACCCCGACAAAAAACTGTTTCATTCATTCTTTTCGTTATGCTCATTCCATTCACTCATTCGTTCCGTTCCTCCCTGCACTCCTTCATGGATTAATTCCTTCCCTCCTTCGTTGCTTAATTCATCCATTGCTTCCTTCCTTCCTTCCTTCCTTCCCTCCCTTCCCTCCCTCCCTCCCTCCCTCCCTCCCTGCCTTCCTTCCTTCCTTCCTTCCTTCCCTCATTCATTCATTCATTCATTCATTCATTCGTTATTTCATTAGATAATTCTTTAATTGCCTCTTGAAGCGTGCCCGCCCCAGACTGTGATTCATAAAATCACTTGACTCATTTAAGTAATTGCCCAAGCATGTATCTAAATACGGAATTTAGTTGATCAGCTAGTTCAGCTAACTCAGTAACGAGTTGGTTCACTCGCAAGTAAGAAAACATAAACAAATGTGTGTATGCATGCACGTATGCATGTACATACATATATATATATAGACATATTCCTTGGATCGAAAGGCAAATCAGCAAGGTACGGCAGCATTGCTATTGGGAATCCCACCTTGCGTGTGCATGAGGTGCCCATAGGGTAGCACTCATCCGCCAACAAGTTGCATAGTCTCGGCCTTACCACGTGTTCAATAAAACAACGCATTATGCCAGCATTACTGCCAGCATGGTATTCCCGTGAGCAACATGAAGCAAGCTACGGAGGTATTGAAGAGCAGCGACATTATTGGATAGGGCACAAGAATCAAGCTTTTCGTTTCGGTCCGGTTCTCCAAGGAAATGCTGCTGCCAGTAGAAGATTCATAAGAAGCCTGAGCTGCCGTTTCGTTCAAGTGGATGCACGTCTTGCACGTGTCGGCGCTCGTTGAACGAAGTTCGGGACGAGGGCTCTTAGATTTCGACCCAAGAAGCCAAAGTATTTTAGAAAATCTGAGTGCGTGCGAGAGTGCCTTGCAAGCTCCCAGCCGTTTATCTACGAGGAACATTGGGATGCCAACTTGTCCTCCAAGCGGCCTCCAATCTCCGCAGCAAGTCTTATGTCCTTGTCTCCTGAAGAGCAGCCGCAGGAGCTCTGCCGGGAGTATACAGGCGACTCCTATGATGCCGCGTCCCATGTCAGGGCTTTCGACTCCGCTTTCAGAATGTGACCAAGATAGCATGAACTCGCAAGGTGATCCAGCACAGCAGCTGCCACTTCGCTCAGGAGGCTTTGTGAGCAGCAAATGCTTAACAGTCTCTTCTCCTTGAGTTCTGTGTTGCGTGCGGGAGAGGTGGCATGGTTCTTGCTGAACAACCATCTCCCAGATGAGGCGGAATTCGGCAAAGAGTTGGAATTTTGAAGGGAAGGTTCTTGCTCTCCGTTTACCACCGTCGTACCTGCAGAGACTGATCGTGCTTTCAGCGCCTTTCGAAGCGGCTCAGCCCATGAGACTTTGATGCCTTGTCTCCTGCCGTGATCAGTTTTGCAAAAGGAATTCCGTGATATCTCTCGACTTGCCCTCATGCAGAGCGTTAGCACGAGTAAGAACATACAGTTGACTGATCCGAGAGGCCTGGCTACAGCCTCCGAGTTTGGCCAGTGCCATTACAGACATCAGGCGGCCCTCAACCCCAAATATGCGGTTTGGGGTTAAAGGGGTAACCAGGGACCCGAAGTTTCGCCAAGACCCCAAACTCAACATTGGTTTAAAGCACGAGGGCTTCAGTCCCAGGGGCCAAAGCATACATGAGCGCAGCTGTGTGTCCCGCTCTCTTCATGAACGTGGTATGGATCCAATCTGCAAGTGATTCTTGAATCCCAACAGTTAGGTTCCGCTGAAAACTCAGCACATTTGAGAATGGTTTCACTTAATTGGGAGTCTTGTACATCCTTTTACATGAAGTCGACCAACTTCAAACAAAAGTCTCCCCTCGAACCGACCCATCACCAAGAACCTGGCCTGGCATGTCTGAGAGCGAGCGTCGAAACCCGAAATCTTCGCATGCTTGCTTGAACCTACGCTGCGGTCTAGAATCGTAGTACTGGTAATAGTAGCAAAAGTAGGAACCGTAATAGCAGTGCGCATAGTACTAATAGCACTGCTGTGTTTTTGCCGGAGTCCTGTGGAGCTCTGGGCGACTATTCATCCCGCAGCTTCTTCATCTAGCCTAGCACGTGCTGTTCTTCCAGTTATGCACAGCTCGTATGTTAGCTGTTGTACCTGAGGCCCTACCTACTACCTGTTTCTTCTGTACAGTTTTCCATGTTTCACAATATCCAGTACGGATAAACATCGAGATCGGAGTTCCGAACAACGAACGCCAGCACGAGCATCTCATGAAGATTCGTTTCGACAACTAGCTCGTCCATGCACTGGTGAACTGACTATGTAGGACCCCATGCGTTCATCCCATGTTTGTTCCAATTCTCATCGCCGTTGCTGCTTTTGCTTTGCTTCGTCTGCTGAGATGCTGTAGTGGTGTGACTTGTGGTCTGCTGATTCAAGATTCTCAGAACTGTTGTGCTTGACGTCCACGTGATTTCTGCGTCTTTTGAACTCCTTCTATGCAAGATCATTCTCATGAATTCGTTGTTGCCATGGGCTCTTGCGATTGCCACTCTTCTTTGCGCTATCCGGTATCTACTACAGGTGCTAGTGTGATGTTGGGTTAAGCTGCTACTGTCGTAGTCAGTGTTTACCAGTCAGTCTGCCATGTTTCTTATTTGGCATTTCGAGGAGCTCTCTTTGAAGAGCACGTTGCAACGCTACATCCTTAAACCACCTGCTGTCCCGACTGCGTGATCACTCGAACTGTGGCGGCAGTAAAACCTTACTTCTGCTTCTCTTCTCGTTCCTCGTGATGTCAACGCCACTGTGACTTTGTCGTCCTTGTTGCTGCTCGGGCAATGGCATCTGCAGTGGCCGGTACTGGGTTTCATGCCTATTCGCCTTTCTATAGTGACAGTCGGATCGGCACTGCTCCCCATGGCGTATTGAATGCTTTTTTCTGCCTGCAATTGATAGATAGGGGTTTCAGATAACCGGGAGTGTCTGCTAGGGGTGCTTATTATCAGGATCCCATTATTAGGGGCTTCCACATATCCACTGCTCTTTTCGGAACTCTGATGGCCTCGAGAGCTCCCTAGCACGGGAATGCTCTCCGCCGCCATGCGCCTGGCGCCTGCGCGCGCCGCGCCCGTTGCTGGAGCTCTCCTTGCTGCTGTGGCGCTTCTCTTGAGGCTGGTTGCGTGGTGCCGGCGTTGGAGGGTTCAAGTTTGCTTCCGGGTGACTGAGATGCCTCAACTTGTCCTGGGAACCTGTACATGTCCTGCGGGTTACACACGTGGAAGCGGTTACAAGCCGCAGGGCAGCTCCGAACCGACGGCAGCTGCTTCGCTGGCTTCGTTCGTTGAGCGTGGCTCTACGCCAGCTGCAGGCCGAGCTCTGTGCTGGTCGGGAGTTGGGTGTTCGGTTGTTCGCAGGGTTGATGTGGCTCAGTCAGGGCACCAGGTTCCAGCATGCCACTTTCAGGCAAGGACTAGGCCGAGAAAGTTGTTCACATGACGTTTGGAAGGCCTGTTCGAAGTCCTTGGTTCGCTTGCTGCTTAACTTCATTAGCCTTTTCAACTTTGAATCTATTTGCCGCAGTCGGGGTGGCTCAAGGTAGAAGAGGACCCCCTACCAGGGCCAAGCATCTAGGACAATCTTGGGCCACCAGTGCTCAGCGCAGAGCTTTGGCCCAGGGCAGGACAGAGAAAGGCTCGGGGCGTGTCAATGGCTGGCACAGCGCTCCAAACAAGTTCCAAATCCATCAAGGATCTGGCCGACGAGCTCGACGACTATGTGGAACGCGGGCCTCACAGACTTAACGTGCTTTGCTTCGTCGGAGGTGCTGCCATCGTGTTGAATGGCATCTTTAGTGTGGTGGACGTCTTCAATGTGCTGAGTGAGCCCGTCTACTATGTCGTGAATGCCTACATGGTCTTCTTCGGTGCTGTCACATGCATCACTGAAGCTCGGCCCACCTTTGCCGCGCAGCTGCATGACACGGTGCAGGGTGTGCAGCGTTGGATGCACGAATGGGCCAAGGGCCTGACCTTACTCTGGGGACGAGGCCTCTTCTACATCTTCCAAGGGGCCTTCTGCCTCTTGTCCTCCGGCCTTTTGAGCCTTGGCCTGATCATCGGTGCCTACATGCTAGTGATAGGCCTCCTCTGCCTCAAGGTGGGCTATAGGAGACACGTCCAGAGTACATCGGCAGATTACATCCGAATCACCGAGTAGTTGGGGCAGTTGTGCATTCTGTACCAGACCAAAATGAGTGCAGATTCCGTGAAAAGATGCATTCTCCTCCTGTGCTCTTGATTCATATTCTCCGACCTCCACGGAGAGGTTTTGCCCACGTACCCATAACACCTTCCGTCGCCAGTGTGTAAACTGCGAGAGGCACCGAGTGGATTCCTGCCAGAATGGCCTCCACCTCCTCAGCTTCCCGGCCAAGTTTGGCAGAAAAGGGCTTCCTGCTCAACTCGTGCTCGGGGAGCTTATAACTCGACCCTAAACCCTAAACCCTACCACTTGAAGCCGTCCTGAGGGGATGATAATCAAAGGGTGATGGGAAGAACCTGTCAGTGCCTGCCCAATCGCTCTATCCGTCAGCCATGCTAGCCTACTAGCAGTCGTAAGAGGTGTCACGAACAAAACCCTTAACCCCAAAGCCGAAAACTCTGAACCCTACAGTAAAACACTTCAGGGGATCGACATTGGAGCTCCTGGTCACCTTAAGGGTCACTATAAGGTGGGACATTGTAGGCATTACTTGCCTTAGTCCTTAGTCCTACAACGCATAGTTCTAGCAAGTGATCGTACACATTATATTATTAAAAATAGTGTTAACATGATCATTGTTATTATTATCATTCTATCATTAGTAGCAGTATGTTTGGTATCACTCTTACTAGTGTAATTTATTGTTTGTAAGTTGTTAGTCTACATATTCCTAGTCTTATGATTCTTCTTGTTCTAATTCTTATTATTACGATACCCAGGCTGCTGCTGCGGCAGGGCTCGGTGGTCCTGGCTTTCGGGACCGTGCTGCTGCTGCCGGGACCTAAGGCAGCAGGTGCAGACGAGCTTCGAAGTTTCGCTTGAAGCGGTTTAGGGTTTAGCAAGTCCTGATGCAAAACCAGGGTCTCATGCTTTCAAAGACCGTGTTGAATCTAGGTTTCGAGTTTTTCACGAGTCCCCAATCGAGAACTAACTGTCGTTTGTAAAAGTCCTGTATTTTGGAGGGTGGGCCACAGGGTCAGCTCTCGCTGATTGAGGTGGACGGCGCAATCTTCGAGAGGCGATGTGCTGCAGGACGAAGGCCTGCGAGCATGGGTGGCAAAGGCAGGACGGGGTCTGTGTGCCTACTGCCAAACTGTAAGCTGGTTGTCCTGCATGCTCCAGCCAGAGTGTCAAAGGGGACATGGACCGCAAATAGTGGGATCCTCATGGTAAGGACCGCAACAGGATCCCTAGTTTAAGTAAGCATCCCCCCC